AAAATTCCAGTGATCTCAGCATTGGTCCTCCGGCATCTAAGATCACTAAATAACGGCCCATGGGCCAAATGCCACCCACACCCTGTTTTTGCCTCTCCAACTACAGATGGGTTTTGCATTTTTAAATGGTTGGGGGAAAAAATCAAAAGGCACATCATATTTCATGGCATGTGAAAATTTTACGAATTTCAAATTTCAGTGTCCACTAATAAAATGTGACTGGAACATAGCCACGCCTATTCATTTATGTGTTGCCTATGCCTGCCTTCAGGTTACAAGGTCAGAACTGAGTCGTTGCAACAGAGACCTTATGGCTTGCAAGTCTGAAGTATTGCTATCTGGCCATTTGCATAAAAAGTTGGTTGACCTCTGCTCTAAAGCATTGTGTTCAATATTTTCTAAAGGACAATCACAAAGAGGAACCACAGGAATGGTGGAGGGAGACCAAAGCGTTTCATAAGTTGAATCTCTGAAGGAATTGAGAGTAATAAGCCAGCAGAAGAGAAGATCAAAGGATAACATTACAGATTTCTTTAAATTTTTAAAGAGTCGGCATGCGGAAGGGGCTTGTGTTTGTGTCATTACGGTGGTACAAATGATCCTGAAATCTGCAAGGAGTCAGGTATCGACTAAACATAAGAAAGCATCTTCCAACAAATCAAAGTGGAAAATCATAGAGGTTATATTACCAAAAGAGCCCACACCCAAGCGATGGCCGGTATTAAGCCCAGAGGCAAGATGATTGCCATCCAAGATTATTGTAGGAAGGACTCTTACAGTGGGTAGGAAGTTAAACTGGTTTAATACTCAGGTTCTTTCTATGATTTCATCTTAAAAGAAGGAAAATTGGCCAGGCGTGGTGGCTTATGCCTGTAATCCCAGTAACTTAGGAGGCCGAGGTGGGTGGATCGCTTGAGGTCAGGAGTTCGAGACCAGCCTGGTTAACATGGTGAAACGCCATCTCTACTAAAAATACAAAAATTAGCTGGGTGTGGTGGCGCATGCTTGTAATCCCAGCTACTCAGGAGCCTGAGGCAGGGGATCGCTTGAACCTGGGAGGCAGAGGTTGCAGTGATATAGTTAGCCGAGATTGCGCCACTGCACCCCAGCCTGGGTGACGTGACAGAGTGAGACTACATCTAAAAAAAAAAAAAAAAAAAAAAAGGAAAGAAAAAACGGAAAGAAAGAAAATCATAATTGGCAGGTGAAAGCATAACAAACCATTTCCGCCACCACATTCGCAAAGAATTAGACTCTACAGGGAAATCTACTTTTATTATTTATTTATATACATATTTTATTATATATAGTTATATATAATAAACATATATCAATTAAAATGGGCATGTTAAAAGGAGGCCTTTAATTTACATAGAGTACATCAGCTATAATAAGAATCACATTAGGAAAAGAAGGCTTATTTTTAGAAAGAGGACTCTGGTTACACAAAATAAGGAAAGGACATTCACTGCTAAATAAAATGAGCTGAAATCTTTCCTTGTGTTACTACAGGAAATCAGCATGGCACTACTTGAAAGAGGAAAAAAGTCTATATATAAAACGGAAAGGGGGAGGAATGCGTTTAAGCAAAAAAATCACGCTAAACTATAAACTACAGTTAAGGGCACAGTCGTGTGACTTATTTGCACCAGATTTATTCGCAAAATAGTTTTACAAATGACTTCCCAAAGCACAGCCACCTGTTAGGCTGTTATTTTGGCCTATTTCCAATGGCAATCTTGTCACCCGAGCAAGAGACACACCACCATAGCAACATAAACATCAGGGTGCTGGAGAATGAAATTTACAGTAGCAATTTATAGCCCCTGCAGGGCTGGAAATAAACTAATCCTTAAGCCTTTATGACTATGACACAACATTCCCACTGGGCAAACTTAGATCCTATGGACACTTCAGGATTTCCCATAGGCCATTTGGAAAGCAGAGACTCCAAAATACCTATTGTACTAGAGGATCCCACTAAAATAAAGGCATTTAAATGTGAGAGTATCTAGCCCAGCATGATCATCAGGTGTTTTCACACCCCCCACAAATGGACAATGATCATGACCCTTTGTATTTGCAGAGTAGGCTCCATATTACATGAGATTAGCCCCTAATACAAATCAAAAGAGGGGCATTTGACAGTTGAGAAAATGAACAGGTAAGGCCCAGGAAAATGAGTCTTTCTCAATCAAATCATGGATATCACACAGCAAGGACTGACTAGGTCTTCTGTGTCCACACTCTTCCACAGTATTGCACCAACCTCAACCAGAAACCCCAGTTCCGAGCAACTTACAGGTACTTTGGCTCAGGGAGATAAAATGCAAAGGTGTGTCATCAAATGAAAGGGCAGAGTAAAAATGAAAGAGAAATCAAGTTTGAAAGCAACCATGCCTCTTTTCAGGGGTACGTTTTTGCATTGTTGGAATTTGCCATTGGATATTGGAATACATTCTTAAATAAATGTGGTTATGTTATACATCATTTTCATGCACAATTCTCGCTTTTTTTTTTTTTTTTGCTAATGACTTATTACTTGCTGTTTATTTTATATTTATTTTAGACTATGGAAATGACGTTACACAAAAAGCAAATTTGAGCGATTTTCTTATTCGAGTTCAAAATGGGTTGTAAAGCAGTAGAGACAACTCTCAATATCAACAATGCATTTGGCCCAGGAACGGCTAAAGAATGTACAGTGCAGTGGTGGTTCAAGAAGTTTTTCAAAGGAGACAAGAGCCTAGAAGATGAGGAGCGCAGTGGCCGGCCATTGAAAGTTGACAACGACCAATTGAGAACAATCAACAAAGCTGATCCTCTGCTGGGTGTGGTGGCTCGCACCTGTAATCCCAGCTCTTTGGGGGGCCGAGGTGGGCAGATCATGAGGTCAAGAGTTCGAGACCAGTCTGGCTAACATGGTGAAACCCCCGTCTCTACTAAAAATACAAAAATTAGCTGGACGTGGTGGCATGTGCCTATAATTCCAGCTACTCAGGAGGCTGAGGCAGGACAATCACTTGAACCCAGGAGGCGGAGGTTGCAGTGAGCTGAGATTGCACCATGGCACTCCAGCCTGGGCCATAGAGTGAGGCTCCATCTCAAAAAACAAACACAAAAAGCTGATCCTTTTACAACTACGCAAGAAGTTGCCAAAGAACTCAACGTCGAGCATTCTGTGGTTATTCGAAATTTGAAGCGAATCAGAAAGGTGAGAAAGCTGGATAAGCGGGTGCCTCATGAGCTAAGAGAAAATCAAAACAAAAGTCATACTGAAGTGTTGTCTTCTCTTATTCTATGCAACAACTACGAACCATTACTCCATCGGATTGTGATGGGCAATGAAAAGTAGATTTTATGACAACTGGCGATAATCAGCTCAGTGGTTGGACTGAAAAGACAATCCAAAGCCCTTCCCAGAGCCAAATTTACACCAAAAAAAGATCACGGCCACTGTTTGGTGGTCTGCTGCTGGTCTGATCCACTACAGCTTTCTGAATCCCAGCGACACCATTGCAGCTGAGAAGCATGCTCAGCAAATCGATGAGATGCACCAAAAACTGCGACTCTGCAGCCAGCACTTGTCAGCAGAAAGGGACCAATTCTTCACGACAACACCCAACTGCATGTCTCGAAACCAGTGCCTAGAAAGTTGAACCGATCGGGCTACAGAGTTTTGCCCCATCTGCCACATTCACCTGACCTCTTGCCAACTGACTACCACCTCTTCAAGCATCTCCACAACTTTGGGTAGGGAAAACGCTTCCACAACCAGCAGGATGCAGAAAACGCTTTCCAAGAGTCTGTTGAATCCCAAAGCAAGGATTTTTATGTTATAGGAAAAAAAAAAGACTTATTTCTCATTGGCAAAAATGTGTTGATTGTAATAGTTCTTATTTTGATTAACAAAAGTGTGTTTGAGCCTAGTTACAATAATTCAAAATTCATGGTCTGAAACCACAGTCACTTTTGCACCAACACTTGCCGTTGGGGGCGGCAATTACCAGAACTTAAAAAGTGAACACTTTAAGTATTGGTGCAAAAGCAAGTGGTCAGCTGTGGCCAGATTTGCAATTCAAAAAGATCCAAGAAAAGCAGAAAGCAGCCAGGCTGTAATCCTGTAATCCCAGCACTTTGGGAAGCCGAGGCAGGCAGATCACGAGGTCAGGAGTTCGAGACCAGCCTGGCCAACATGGTGAAACCCTGTCTTCGCTAAAAATACAAAAATTAGCTGGGCATGGTGGCATGTGCCTGTAATCTCAACTACTCAGGAGGCTGAAGCAGGAGAATTGTTTGAACCCAGGAGGCAGAGGTTGAGGTGAGCTGAGACTGTGCCACTGCACTCCAGCTTGGGCGACAGGGCGAGACTCCATCTCAAAAAACAAACAAAAAAAAAGAAAACCCAAAAGCAAGTTGAACATCCTGACTGGAGATGAGACACACCCAAACGTGTGTCTTGAGGTGGTTGCGAAGTCCTCTGGTCTGAGCCAGGGTGAGCAGGCGTTACGCCAGCCCGTGATTTTGAGAGATGTCCAGGGCAGATCCTAAGCTCAGCAGAAAGCAACATAAGCCTGGACCACAGCCCTAAAATCCAATCCATTAACGCTGACTTAATTTCTCCACTCTATCTCTTTACTTTGTTCTTTACTTTTCTCAAAAAGAGAGGCCTGGAAGACCCTTGGGGCATTTCCTTCTTGAGATCTACAGAACAGACTGTTGGCCAGGACAGCCCTGAGGTGGCCATTCTGGAGAAGAAAAATACGTGAACCTATGATGAAGCTTCTGTGATACCAGGGATCTGGCTGCTTTTGATCTAATAACCAGTACTGAACTCCCTCTGTAAAAAATAAGATGGTCGCCAGGCGCAGTGGCTTACACCTGTAATCCCAGCATTTTGGGAGAATGAGGCAGGAGGATCGCTTGAGCCCAGGAGTTCAAGAACAGCTTGGGCAACATAGTGATACCCTGTCTCTAAATTTTTTTTTTTTTAATTAGCCCAGCGTGGTGGCACACACCTGTGGTCCCAGTTACTCAGGAGGCTGATGAGCTCAGCGAGGTGAAGCCTGCAGTAAGCAGTGATTGCACCACTGCACTCCAGTCTGGGCAACAGAGCGAGACCCCATCTCAAAAAATAAAGGCCAGGTGCGGTGGCTCACACCTGTAATCCCAGCACTTTGGGAGGCTGAGGCTGGTGGATCACCTGAGGTCAGGAGTTCGAGACCAGCCTGGCCAACATGATGAAACCCATCTCTACTAAAATACAAAAATTAGCCAGGTGTGGTGGCAGGTGCCTGAAATCCTAGCTACTTAGGAGGCTAAGGCAGGGAATTGCTTGAACCTGGGAGGCGGAGGTTGTAGTGAGTGAGCTATCATGCCACTGTACTCCAGCCTGGGTGACAGAATGACACTCTGTCTCAAAAATTAATAAATAAATAAAAATAAAAAATAAGATGTCTTTGACAAACATAACCAAAATGTAAAAGAAACAACTCCTACAGAACAGGGTCAAAAGGCTGAGCACCTACATAAATAATGGCTAATATTAAATATACTTAACCCTTCAAAAGTGTTTTTCTTGAAAAGGCTTATGGGGATTATTCCCCTGGGACTCCTAATAGCTTAATTACCTTGAAAACACACATGCACACACCACCACCCCCAAGCTCCTTTTCAGCCAAATTTGGGCAAAAAAAAAAAAAAAATCTCAAAGTATGCCCATATCTGCAGTATTATAAGTCATACTGCTGAAAAACATAATTACACTCAGCTAAGTCCAAGTTTCCATCAGACACAATCCAAAAGAGATGAACTATTAAGTCCTGAATCTAAAGATTTTTCATTTTGAACATGATGCGTCTTCATGGGCAGCAAAAACATATTATCAAAAAATGGGTCTCTTCAATAGCCCGGGGTTTGAGTCTCTAGCCTGTAAGGTACAATCTGTACGCCGATGACTAAATGCAATTCTAGTTACCAAACTCCTGGCACTTGAGTGGGGGGCAGAAGTAAATAACCACATTTATATCTTTAAACCTGTCTTATTTTCACCATCTTGTTTTGTTTTGTTTGTTTGTTTGTTTTTAAATAGAAACAGGGTTTCACCAAGTTGATCAGGGTGGTTTCGAACTCCTGGCCTTGTAATCTGCTGGCCTCAGCTTCCCAAAGTGCTGACATTACAGGAGTGAGCCACCATGGCCAGCCCACAGCATTTTTAAGTATTTAGAAAAACCACTCTCATCCACTGTGTCACTTTTATGGAGGATGATGATTCATGTGGGATGTAAGGGCCACATCAGTCTTTTCATCAGCACCAACGTTGCCATTATTATTTCAAGTCAGGGAAAACTCAGCAAAATGTTCCCGATGGAGGGCCATGCCACCAGAGCACTAACTATAGGAAATTTCAGAAGATGTGCTCATCGGCTCAAGCGCAAGCTTCTCTAGTGATAATCCCTGTCTTCAAAACAACCTGTCCAGGCCAGGTGTGGTGGTTCTTACCTGTAATCTCAGCACTTTGGGAGGCCAGGGCAGGAGGATTGCTTGCGGCCAGGAGTTCAAGACCAGCCTGAGTAATGTAACAAGACACTTCCCTGCCCATCTCTACAAAAAGACAAAATTAGCCAGACATGGTGGTGCAGGCCTGTTGTCCTGGCTACTCCGGAAGATAGAGAGAGCCGGGGAGTGTGAGGTTACAATGAGTCATGATGGTGCCACTACACTCCAACCTGGGCAACAGAGCAAGATCCTATCTCTTAAAGAAAAACAAAAAACAAAAGACTTGTCCAGATAAGCAGGTGATTATAGATCCCTTTTCTCAGGCATCTATCTAGTGATGTTTTTCTACGTTAATTGCTAATTACCAGTTTAATAAGAGCATTGTTTACTATACGTTTAAAAATATATACATAGCCGGGCGCGGTGGCTGAAGCCTGTAATCCCAGCACTTTGTGAGGCCGAGGCGGGTGGATCACGAGGTCAAGAGATCGAGACCATCCTGGTCAACATGGTGAAACCCCGTCTCTACTAAAAATACAAAAAATTAGCTGGGCATGGTGGCACATGCCTGTAATCCCAGCTACTCAGGAGGCTGAGGCAGGAGAATTGCCTGAACCCAGGAGGCGGAGGTTGCGGTGAGCCGAGATCGCGCCATTGCACTCCAGCCTGGGTAACAAGAGCGAAACTCCGTCTCAAAAAAAACCGTAAAAAAAAAAAAATATATATATATATATACATAAATAGATATGGGGTCTCTCACTATGTTGCCCATGCTCATGGGCCTCAGACTCCTAGGCTGAAGCGATCCTCCCACCTTGACCTCCTAAAGTGCTGGGATTACAGGCATGAGCACGAAGACTGGCCTTCTGTAACCTTCGTGGTGTAGATGTGTAATGTTTTGGTAACATTAAGGGTTTAAGAAACATCTTTTGTCCCTGGTAGGAAAATGCTTCTCAGACTGGATTGAAACTCTGAAAAATTAACATTTTTCTAGATACTTTTTTGGACAGTGTCCATGACAAACTGCTCCTTGAAAGTGGCAGGACCATTGTACCACGAAATCTAATAAAGCCCAGGTCACTGGCTACAGCGAGCTGAAAGCTCTATTTGTAGACATCACTAAGAGAATTGACAAGAATGAAATGTTACACAGTTAACTTATTCATATGCCGTTACACTGAATTAAGTTATATTTTTCTCTTGAGTCAAACATTTCTAAAATCCCAAAAACTATGCTAACATTTTAAATAGTCTTCCTTACTCAGAAAAGGGGTATAAATAATATATGTTTCTACCTGCCACAGCACTGTCTTTAGTCAAATATTCTGTCTTCTACCTTAAAAGAACACTGGTCAGTGCCAACCCTGCTTGCTTGAATGCATCTAAAATCAGTATTTTTCTGCCTTAGTAAGTAATTCTGTTAAATGATGATACAGTAATATTTCTAAATTAAAGTTGCCAAGTACGTCGCTTGCTGCAAAGGTGAAGGTCACTAACTGAGTGATTAATGCTACCCACATACAGATATGGGTCCGTGTTGTCATTTTCTTCTTTTAACAGAGGACAGAATTCAGAAAAAATTCTAGTTAGCTCTCATTAAAGTTGATTGGGTTTGTTTCAAGAAATGATGAATGAGTTTAATGATAAGTAATATAACCAATTTAAAAAAAAAAACAACCTGACCACATGCCTAGAGTAGTCAAATTCACAGAGACAGAAAGTAGCGTGGTGGTCGCCAGGGGCTTTGGGTTGGAGAAATAGGGATTTAGGGTTTAATGGATACAGGGTTTCAATTTTGCAAGATGAAAACGGTTCTACCGATGGGTAGTGGTGATGGTTGGACAGCAATGTAAAGGTACCTAATGCTACTAAAGCTGTATACTCAAAAAGGGTTAAGACGGCAAACTTTGCATCATGTGTATTTTAACACGTTTTTCTTTTATTATTATTTTTTCCTTTTTTGGTTGTTGTTGTTGTTGTTGAGGTGGAGTCTTGCTCTGGAGCCCAGGCTGGAGCGCAGTGGTGTGATCTCCAGTCACTGAAACCTCTGCCTCCTCGGTTCAAGCAATACTCCTGCCTCAGCCTCCCGAGTAGCTGGGATTACAGATGTGCACCACCACACCCAGCTAACATTTTGTATTTTTTAGTAGAAACAGGGTTTCACCACATTGGCCAGGCTGGTTTCCAACTCCTGACCTCAAGTAATCCACCTGCTTTGACCTCCCAAAGTGCTAGGATTACAGGCGTGAGCCACCGCGCCCGGCCATTTTAACACATTTTTTTAAAAACAATAAACATTAGGCCGGGCGCGGTGGCTCACGTCTGTAATCCCAGCATTTTGGGAGGCCAAGGTGGGCGGATCACGAGGTCAAGAGATCGAGACCATCCTGGCCAACATGGTGAAACCCTGTCTCTACTAAAACATACAAAAATTAGCTGTGCATGGTGGCGTGCACCTGTAGTCCCAGCTACTCGGGAGGCTGAGGCAGGAGAATTGCTTGAACCCAGGAGGCAGAGATTGCAGTGAGCCAAGATTGAGCCACTGCACTCCAGCCTGGTGCCTGGCGACAGAGCAAGACTCTGTCTCAAAACAAAACAAAACAAAAAATAAACATTAATAATAAACTGACCAGGATATACCCATCCAATTAAATGCAGTCCCGTTCAAATAGTGTCCTTTTAGGTAACAACATATTTATTTCAATAGTGCTGATACAAAGCAAAACATTTCTGAATCTCCCCTGCAGAACCTAAGGCAGGTTTTGGGGTGCTTTTTTAAAATTTTTAACATTCTTTATCATTTCGAATTTTGAAAAGTCTTTGAGAGTTTCATTTTCAAAATAATAACCACGTTAAATCTTAAAATATTTATTTCAGCTAGACGTAGTGGCTCACACCTATAATCCCAGCACTTTGGGAGGCCAAGGCCGGTAGATCACTTGAACTAGCAAGTTTGAGACAAGTCTGAACAACATGGTGAGACCTGGTATCTTAAAAAAAATTATTTTAGTCCACATGCAGTGTAACTATAAAAGAATAATGTTAATCTGCCTGTGTAGCTTAGAAGCTGGATCTGGAAGCACTGCTAAGAAAAAGTGAGCAGGGGGTTTCCAAGGCACAGGCATGTCAGATGGAAGGGTAAATACATAACTCTGCATAGTACATTCTGATCATTTTTAATGCCTTCCAATTTGCTTACCTCCACCCAAAGAATTTTAAGTTTTCAACAAAATGTGCCAAAGACATGGTGCCGCTTGTCTGTTCCCATCATTTTCAGATACTAATTTTGAGAAACTCACAGGTGCTCACGAGCTAACATCTCTGCTGGCGATGCCTAGGGAAGCCAAAGGTTTTTACTGTTATCAAAAGGAATAATTTCCAAGAGTGTAGGGGCGGTTCTCTTTTTAGAGCACGAACTACAAAAGGTATTTTCAAAGAGGAATATGATTCATTTATTAGAGTTAAAATGCAGAATGTCACTTGGTTTAATACTTGGGTAAAATTGATCATTTGATGGGAGATAAAATTTCTGGGCCACTCTCTTCTCTTACTGGGACAGAACGTCACCTTTTCCTAATTATTTCCTTTCATAATCCTGAAGGGTTATTTAATCTCTAAGAAATTGGATTATTTTTGGCCGGGCACGGCGGCTCACTCCTGTAATCCCAACACTATGGGAGGCCGAGGTGAGCAGATCAGCTGAGGTCAGGGATTTGAGACCAGCCTGGCCAACATAGTGAAACTCCATCTCTACTAAAAACATAAAAATTCGCCGGCACAGTGGTGGGTACCTGAAATCCCAGCTACTTGGGAGGCTGAGGCAAGAGAATCACTTAAAACTGGGAGGCGAAAAAAAAAGAAAAACAAAACAAAACAAAACAAAAAAACAAAAACAACAACAACAACAAAAAACAACTGGGAGGCAGAGGTTGCAGTGAGCTGTGATCGCGCCACTGCACGCCAGCCTGGGCCACAGAGTGAGACTCCATCTCGCAAATATATAAATACATAGTTATTTTCAACATAAAAACACACAAACTAATGCTCAGAAACACCTGCATGTGGCCTTAATACAGCAAATATAATCAGAACTGAGTGTGTGTGTGTGTGTGTGTGTGTGTGTGTGTGTGTGTGTGTAAAATGATGGGAAACAGTCTTTGGAGATCAGTGGCTTAGATTAGGTACTTAAACAACATTATTAAAGGCTATCATCAAATTACATTTGTTTGTCCAATCCTATTTCTCTGGGTGATTCAGTCTAGAAAAGAAACAACACCCTAAAGATGGTCAGATATGATGCTAAAGGAATTAAAGAGTGACTTTTTTCTTTGCTCGGGAATAAACAGGAATTCTAAAAAGCTAAACTTCAGCCAAGCTTAAAAAGATAAAGAAAAAAGGCTGGGCGTGGTGGCTCAGGCCTGTAATCCCAGCACTTTGGGAGGCCAAGGTGGGCGGATCACAAGGTCAAGAGATCAAGACTATCCTGGCCAACATGGTGAAACCCTGTCTCTAAAAAACAAAAACAAAACAAAACAAAAAAAATACCACAAGCTAAAAAAAGTCATTAGATCAATCTGACCAAGAACTTACGTTGACCACATGTTTAGATGCGTGAGTCGACTTCCACTAACGTCCGATGAGGAGTTTTAAGAGAGGCCCCTTTTGTCAAAATGCTGGGAAATGAAAGAATGAGTCACTTTATTGCTTGATGTCAAAATCTTGGTGAGCTCTGGTTCAGTATTTCTAAGTCAACAAACAGTCTTGTAAAACGTGGCTCAGGCAGTCAGCCAGGAAGTGGTTGGTGACCCCAAACTCCTTCCTCCACTATGGTTTGCAAAGCCGGTGGCCAAGACAGTGCGTCCCCTGCAGTGGGGCTCTCCTCTAGCAAATGCCACCTGGGAGATTTGCCCAGCAAAACCTGGTGTGATTTTTCCCATCCTAGACGAACACTGTTGAGATGGGGTTTAAATAGCCAGTTAGCCACCCTCAGAATAAAGCCCTTGATGGGAAGAAGGCTTAAGGACATCTGCCAGACATACAAAGGACTTATGTGCCATGTGGAACCATCTCCTCCTGAATGTGTATTCTGGGTTTTATTCTGCCAACACGTGATTTCCCATTCAACCCTCACAGAAAGCAGAGACATGCATCTGGAGTCAGAGCCAGAACAATCCTGGGTTCCTCCCAGAGCTGGTTTTTCCACTCATGATAGCCACAGCCTCCATCCCCTTGTAGGGACTCCTAAGGATCCTTAGCCCTGACAAGGAAGGCTCCCCGACCCCTGCAGCCCTGTAGCTGGCCTTAGGGCAGCTATTCAAGCCATGTACTTTTTTCCCTCTAAGTATCATGTCCTGACCTAAATTGCAGTCATTCTGGCCCAAATCTGGCAGATTTTTTTCCCACACTGCTGCAGAAGAGAACCTCCTTCCCTGAAAGTCTGTCTAAATTCAAGACAACCAGAGCCATCTCCTTAAGGACGGGGATGGTAACCTTTCCATTTACGCAGAATTCAAATTCAGCACTCTCTGCCTCTCAATGGCTCTCTCTCTCTCTCTGAACATGGGCATCTATTCTGCTCCAACAAATCTGTAAGCACTTTTCTTTCTGAAAAACAACTTTATTGAAATGTACTTTACATACCAATTCAGTGATTCCTGGTACACTTACAGAGCTGTGCAGCCATGGCCATCATCTATTTTTAAATGGCAAGAAAACCTCTCCAGTGTCCTCAGGCCCAGGAGTTCCAGAAGGCAGGGATCTACCTGTCTTGTTAGCCACTCCAGACCCAGCACCCGGCACAGAGCAGGAATTCAATAGAGTACCTGTGAATGGATGGTGTCCTGACGTCAGTCTGCAACTTCCATAGCCCTGTTTTCCAGATTCAAGAAATAACTACTTCTCTCTTCCACTGGAAACTGGATTCAGCTAATATCTCTAAGAGAGGCAGGATGGCCTCCAAGCTTCCCACTGACTGGTGAGCCCGTTTGGAAAAGAGTCGAGAAGTGAGAGACAGCAAGTCGGAGAGATCTGCAGTTGCAGTAGAAGCTCTCCCGCTGGACTTGCAAGAGAAAACTGACGTGTCGTGGAGAGGGCCACATGGCAGGACATGGCAGGTGGCCTCTAGGAGCCAGCCTCTAACTGATAGACTGTAAGGAACTGCATTCTGATTATGCCAACAACGGTGTGAGCCCTGAAGACAGCTCCAAGCTCCAGAAAGAAAGGCAGGCTGGCTGACACCTTGACGTCAGCCTTATGAGACCCTGAGCAGAGAATCCAGCCATGCCATACCCAGACTTCTGAGCTACAGAATTTGTGCGCTAATAAATGCGTGTTGTTTTAAGCCACTGAGTTTGTGATCTTTGTAACACAGCAATAGAAAACTAATATATGGCCAGGCACAGTGGTTCACTTTGGGAGGCCGAGGTGGGTGGATCATCTGAGGTCAAGAGTTCAAGACCAGCCTGGCCAACACGGTGAGACCCCCGTCTCCACTAAAAATACAAAAATTTCCCAGGTGTTGTGGTGCACGCCTGTAGTCCCAGCTATTAGGGAGACTGAGGTGGGAGGATTGCTTAAACCCGAGAGGCAGAGCTTGCAGTGAGCTGAGATCATGCCACTGCACTCCAGCCTGGGTGACAGAGCAAGACTATGTCTCAAACAGAAACAAGAAAAGAGACCAGGCGTGGTGGCTAACCCCTGCAACCTCAGCACTTTGGGAGGCCAAGGCGGGTGGATCATACAGTCAGGAGTTCAAGATCAGCCTGGCCAACAAGGTGAAACCCCGTCTCTACTAAAAATACAAAAATTAGCCAGACATGGTGGTGGGCACCTGTAATCCCAGCTACTCAGGAGGCTGAGGCAGGAGAATCACTTGAACCCGGAGGCAGAGGTTGCAGTGACCCGAGATCATGCCATTGTACTCCAGCCTGGGTGCAAGAGCAAGACTCCATTTCAAAAAAAATAAAAATAAAAAAAAGAAAAGGAAAGAGAACTAATATACATCCTCTTCTGGGAGGTGGGAGTAAAGCAGCCTGATGACAATAACTCCTAGATAGATATGACTGATTTCAAACTTCTCAGGGGTATCACTAAGAAATTTTTTAAATGAAGATGTTTTAAATACAAAATAATCTCTAATTGGTAAAATTTCAAGCAGTATGAAATGTAAGTGAAAAAGTTTTAAACGATTTTTTAGGACATAGAGAATCAGTGTTCCTTAAAAGGTTTCTGTTTTTTTTCAGCTTCCTATCCATTCTCTCAGCAAGTATTTACCAAGTGTGGCCCCTAAGTTTAAGCACCAGAGCCTTATTATCCAATATGGCAGCCGCAAGCCACTCACGGTCCTTGAGCACTGTAGGGTGGCCAGTGCAAATTACGATGTGTCTCCACAGAAAATACACACCCGATTTCAAAGACTTAGTGTGAAAATAAAAGATCATATCAGTGTTTTCTCATGTGGATTACATGTTGAAAAGATAATGATGGCAACAGATAACAAACAAGTAAACACAGTAAGTACAAATTGCGATAAATGCTATGAAGGAATAAACAAGTGTGGCGAGGTAGATAATAGGGGAAATGATCAGGGAGAATATGAAAAGAAAGCTATTTTATTTTATTTTATTTTGAGACAGAGTCTCGCTCTGTCACCCAGACTGGAGTACAGCCTGGATCTCAGCTCACTGCAACCTCCACCTCCCAGGTTCAAGCAATTCTCCTTCCTCAGTCTCCCGAGTAGCTGGGATTACAGGGGCGCTACCACCATTACCAGCTAATTTTTAGATTTTTATTAAAGATGGGGATTCACCATGTTGGCCAGGCTGGTCTCAAACTCCCGACCTCTAGTGACCCATTCTCCTCAGCCTCCCAAAGTGCTGGGATTACAGGCGTAAGCCACTGCACCCAGCCAGGGGAAAGCTATTTTAGATGGGGAAAGGTGCTGTAGATGGAGTGTCAGGAAAGACGATGCTAAGGGTGTGATGTTTCCCTTATAAACCCACGAGTTTGGTATAAACTTTCAAGTTCTAACCCAGGACAGCAGCAGGGGTTAGGAGCATGAAAGGGCGGTAAAAGGCAGGTTGGTCAATTGCAGGCCATCACACTGCTCTCTTCCCACTGGGTCTCATGTACATGGCGCCCCCTGGCGGTGTGCAGCCTTGCAACCCTGTTCATTTGAACAGTTTGGATGCTATTTGTAAATTCGAGGTTGCATAGCACAAAAAGTAAAGCTTCCAAGAAAATTTTTCTGGACAACTTTACATTTTCCAGATACGATTGGTTTGTCCGTTTTAATATTTATAATATACTTGTGTCTCATCCTCCTTGTAACCTACAGGAAAAATCTTCACTTGGGAATACCACAAAATTCCTTATTTCTAGTCTGAAATTCTCCTTTTCCTCTCCCAGCGAATTTGTTAAAGAGACATAAAAGCTTTCACTACAAGTTAGCTGATTTCTAGAACTCAGTCTGTTTCTCTGAACTGGGGCAAAAGTGTTACTTAGTTTTCAAAAAAAGTTTTCAGACTTGCCTAACACTACAGACCTCCAGGCAACAGAAAGCAGGCCAAAGCCCACACGAGCCAGCCAGGGTGCTGCGGTTTCACTCAGGCCGCTAAAGCAATGAACCTAGACGTACTTTTCCAGTAATTACTGCCCCTGAAAAACACATTTACTGCCTGTCATTGTGCTTACACTTTAAAAACCTAAAATGTTGTGGTTCCCCGCTCCCCATCCCATACATACACGAAGCGCTTAAAGAGGTTGAATGTTTAAAGTGTATTAATTTATTCTAGGCTGGGCGCAGTGGCTCACGCCTGTAATCCCAGCACTTTGGAAGGCTGAGGCGGGAAGATCACAAGGTCAGGAGTTTGAGACTAGCCTAGCCAACATAGTGAAACCCCATCTCTACTAAAAATACAAAAAAAAATTAGCTGGGAATGATGGCGGGCACCTGTGATCCCAGCTACTCAGGAGGCTGAGGTAGGTGAATTGCTTGAAATCTGGGAGGTGGAGGTTGCAGTGAGCCGAGATACTGCCACTGCACCCGCCACTGCACCCCAGCCTGGGTGACAAGAGCAAGAGGGGAGAGGGGAGAGGGGAGAGGAAAGAGGGAGGGGGGGGGGGGGGGGGGGGGGGGGGGAGAAGGAAAGGGGAAGGGGAAAGGGAAAGGGAAGGAAAGGGAAAGGGAAGGGAAAAAACATTATTTTATTGTCTACAATAAATAATATATTTTAATGTCTACAATAAATAATATTCTTCATTCACCTAAAACAACAGCCTTTCTGAAATGAATATTAGTTACTTAGCTTTGGAATATCAGTCACACTCATGCAATCAGACACAAGGTTTCTAAACTGATTTTTAAGAGCCTTAGGAACTTCCTCCATATCACAGTAAGAAAAAGCAAAAGTAGCCGGGCGCGGCGGCTCACGCCTGTAATCCCAGCACTTTGGGAGGCCGAGGTGGGTGGATCACGAGGTCAAGAGATCGAGACCAACCTGGTCAACATGGTGAAACCCCGTCTCTACTAAAAATACAAAAAATTAGCTGGGCATGGTGGCACATGCCTGTAATCCCAGCTACTCAGGAGGCTGAGGCAGGAGAATTGCCTGAACCCAGACTGGAGTGCAATGGCGCGATCTCGGCTCACCGCAACCTCC